AGTGATGACCTGTGCAAGTGTGCGGGAAGTCGATAGATGCAGGTGGCTCAGGATCGTACTTCGTGGCAGTCTATGGGGGAGGCCTATGTTCAGCAGTGGACTCAAACAGGCTGAAATGATGATGATGATTCAATGAGGCAATCGCTTTACATCAGGTTAAGCGCTGGCTCGCTTGCCAACTTTTCACGTAATAAATTAATATGTATAAATGATGGCGATCACTGATGACGAACTTGCTTTCATAAGAGTTGCGGCACTAGTCGACTGATTTTTATAAGTTATTTACAACGTGCAAAAATATGAAAAATTTGGAAATAATATACATTTACCTTTGCTGTTTTCTTATCAGTTTCGAGTTAATACCATTTGTATTTGATATGTTTTTGTATACCACAAAGAAGAAAAAGAAATAGAAGAAAAAATATCTTTGTAAATATACAATAAAATTAAATTCTAAGTAATAAGATATTATTGTTACGCAGAAAAATAAACGAAAACCTAATTAACTGTTAATGAAGAAATGTTTCAGTTCACGTGAAAGACTAATAGGAAAACGATACAACTTCGGTGAAGTATTCCCAAATTAGTTTTCCTTTTATCCAAGGCAATTATCCGCAGGGGCTGCAAATCCACCTCCCACGTAGAAATCGAATTACTGTTTAAGAAACATCAAACGAACGAAAAACTGTTGTTGTAATTTGTAATTTCAAAATCTGTTTCCCAGGGATCAACATAATTAAAAAAAAGATTTTGGGGGTGGACGAGGTCTAAAAATCGACCCCTATTAATTAACACAATTTCTTATTTGAAACTTTCAAGATACTACATAATTTATGTTACGTGTACTTATTATAAAAATATTGTTGAAAGTCTAATATTTTAGTAGGAAGTATCATGTATTTAAAAAAAAACTAGAGATAGGATTTTTAATGTTATTTGGTTATGTCTGCTAAGGTATCAGTTCATTTTGAAAAAGGGCTTTAGCTCCAAGTGGTTATCGAAGGATCCTATTCTGATTTGATTCGGATGAAAACTAACGTAGGTGTTTCTCAGGGGTTTGTCCTCTCAGCACCTCTCTTTTTGCTGTATATAATTGATCTGTCGCTGGCCACTTTTATTGAGAGCCAACAAACTAGTATTTAGGCCAGGGGAGTCGTAATACAGTCAGAAAGATGGGCTATGGTACGATTGATCTATTGGTGGAGCCCAAGAATCTCACATTGCGGGCAGTCAAAATGGGACGATATCAATCTTGTGAGATTCGAAGAGGCCGAAATAATGATGATGATGATAAGGGCAGACGCAAAGATTTTTTTTTATGTCAAAAGTTGCCAAGCGGGCAGACGGTACACCTGATGTTAAGTGAATACCGCCGCCCACAGACATCTACACCCAAGGGTTGCAAATGCGTTGACAACCTTTTGAAAATTGGGCTCCGGCCACCTCACTGACCAGACGAAACGCGAAAGTATTATACTTCCACTTTACACCGGTCTTCTGTGAGGTCGTGGTACTTACCCGGACGAGCTTGCCCATTCGTGCAACAGCCGAAGCTGCTGCGTGGCCCTACCACCGAAAATTCGGAACATCTTTCTGTCGGTCATACAAATACCGAGGTCTAACGTCTAGAAGTCTGCACCGAGGTGTAGACTTGATTTGTACTTTATAGCAGGAGGCGCATTTAGCGTAGGTATAAACATAACCTTGATAAAACAATGTCCGCGAAAAAACCACGTGACCTGGAACGGTCCAGAAGTTCATAAGTACTTATAAAAATATGGCCTACTGATGCTTCGCCGAGTGCATTAAAACGAAATTTTATTAAATTATCGTTAAAGATTAAAGTACATATTTACTATTATATTTTCGTTCATGCATCCGTACTAGGGAAAAAGCCCACCTTAAAAATTTAACATAACTACGTGAAACCATGAACACAAAGTTCAAACCCGCAATTATTTTCGAATCACGACTTATTTTTTATGTTGTGGATCGAAACAAAATGTTATATATATAAAAACACATATGGAATATAGAAAGTATGTAAATATGGATATTATTATATGTACGGAAATAATGACACACGGCCTCAAATAAGGCGTTCGTGGAAGACGCGCCCTAGACCCCTTTTGGCACGCATTCTTTGAAATCCTACCCTCATCGCGTGGAACTAACCAGTATACTTGGAACCATACATTGAAGGCCCTTTAGAGATACGGAAGCGCATTTTGCGGTGGTTCTCGCTCGAAACGATAACCACACGCCAGAATTTTCGACGAAACGAAGAGTCCACGTGCCGCTTTGTATTAAAATGAAACAGAATTTCTGCGTAATTGCGGGGACTATTGTGTAGAGTGCGACAACAACATAGTGTGATATGTAGGTTTTACTTAACCTCTCTCTCAGAGATTCCAATTAACACTTAACCGGCTTATTAAACATGACTCCACATTCCACACTATTACAATTAAATAACAGTACATATAAATGTATGTACTGTTATTTAATTGACATATCAATTTGGCAATCAAAGTTTTATTTTTGTTAACTTATTACGAATGGATTAGAAACTATGGCGTATTTTATGTTAGAGGCGTTTTTTAAAAACCGCTAAAACTATTTTCTGCATTCATCATCGTAGTTTTGTTTCAATATGGCATGAAATAATCACGTTTTAATGCCGTAGTTTCGAGTGCGACTATAATAAAACCGTTTAAAAACTTTTAAGTTAAACGGTTTTTTTTTGTGCACTGAAAACTACAATATTGTATTGTCATCTAAATTAAATGTGTGTACCAAATTTCAGATCAATCTGACAACGGGAAGGTGCTTAAATTTCAATTTCTAATTTTGATCCAAATAAACAAATAAATTCCGTACGTGTCGAGCTAAATAAAACCGTTTAAAAATAAATATAATATTTCAGAAAAAAAGTTCATAATGACCACAGCTGGGCAAAGGTCTCTGTACAGAGGATGTTAAGGACAGTCTAATACGCGACCTCACCGCGAATAAGCAATATTCGCGGTGAGGCAAGCACTTCGCATATATTCGAAGTTTCCTCACGATGTCTTCCTTGACAATCAGTACTTAAAATTGCAATTAATTGTTCTGGCCCCGGGATTTTTTTCCGTAATTTAAATATAACCCAGCAGCGATGACTGATAAATAATGTGGACTGATATATATCTACAATATAATTTTATCCTCCCTCTTAGTTGATTCTTTCGACCTTTCTAGATTGAGCCGCTTTAAAAATATGACTATGAAAGTCCCATCTTTCAAAATCCATAGAGATAGATTAAGCAGATTATTTTTAAATTGTTTTTAATTAATTTATTTCAAAATCACAATTGACCACGATTTACCACGAGCGGTTAAGCTATTTTCATTTTCTTTTTTTTAAGACGACCATTACAACTTTACATACACAAATTTTAAATTTAAAAGGGGAAACAGATCCGTAGCAACTATCAGGCGGCAGGTTCTAATGCATTCATTTGTAGGGAGTTATAGTTATACATTCATAGTTCTAATGCATTCATTCATCCCTACCCAAAGGGTAAAATATATATTACTAAGACCCCACTGTCTGTCTGGCCGTCTGTCACCAGGCTGTATCTCATGAACCGTGATAGTCAGACAGTTGAAATTTTCACATATGACGTATTTCTGTTGCCGCTACAACAACAAATAAAATCTAATATATCTAAAAAACAGCATAACAAAATATTTGAGTGCCCCACTCAACAGGCTCCCATACAACAGACATGATTTTTTTTGGCGTTTTTACAGAATATGGTACGGGAACGCTTCATACGCGAGACCGACTCGCACGTAGCCGGTTTAAATTATATTTCTTAAAGCATGCACGATACAGCGGTAAGGAATTGCTATGTTTATAACATTAAAAGAATTCCCGTTTGGCTATAAATCAAACTCATGAAGCCGACGACGCACAGACTGTCAACGAAGATTTTCATTTGGCGCGCAAAATTAAAACCGTAAAAATGTATACGTCGCGAAGTCGCAAGAAGTTCAGCGAGGAAATATAATTAATGTGCAATAAATCCGGGCGGCGACAACGGAGATTCTTTAAAAACTTCTTACAAACAGTTTCACGTAACACCGCCAAGGTGTCGGGAACGGAAATGACGCTCGGTTTGGACGTCACGATCTGATAGCAGCGGAAGCGACTGCGATGCGCGCGATGAACGATTGTCCCGTCGCCATGTTTTTTAATTCTTTTTCAACGTAATTGGCGCCTCCATATAACTGTACAGCGCGAATCGTATAATGTCAATGACCCTTATTTGCATGCGATTTCTTTTTAAACTTGCCATATCATTCCTAGTATTCGCAAATGAATATAGTTATCGATTAAATATAGTATGTAACGTACTACGTGTAATTTATAAGCTGTTTTTTTAGATTTAATTTCGTTATTGTATTTTGTTAAATCAAAAACACTTTTAACAATTAAACACTTTTTGGTAAAACTTAAAACAGTAGAGGCTATAAGAGATATTTCGTACGAACCTTGCGATAACATATTGAACATTGTCCAAATCCCAAAATCATAGTGAAAGGTAAACGAGTGTACTTTGATTTTGATAAATTTTGTATGTTTTAGAATGATAATGCCGATTTTCGGATTATCACCTCTAGTAGCGTAGGATCATAAACTTTTCTTTACCAACTGTTCAATATTCGTGCATTAGACATTAGACAGATATTTTTGCGCTCTATGAAACTAAGTCTCGGGACTGAAAGCGTTAACATCAGCTAATACAAGATACCACCGCAGTACGAATAAATTGCAATTTCAAAACCGAAAGCGGCACGCCAAGACAGAATACGTCTAGAAATAAATAAAACTCGGCAAACAGTTCACCGTTTAATACAAAACGCAATTATGGATCAGGGGCAGCAGTTGGGACGGTAACGCCAGCTGTAGGTGCCGAACGGCCTCCCGCAGGGGCCCACGCAGACGCCGCAGCATGGCCCGCAAAATGGCGCCGGACACGACGCCCCGGCGACCTGCCCACAGCACGGTATCCCGCAGGACGAGCAAGGCATTCTGTTTTCTCGAGATATTCCGAAATCACTGACAAAATATTTTGATGTTTTTTTCAGTTTTATAAATTTTTGCGTTTGTGCGGCTTAGAATAATTTACGACATCGACATTGGTATAAAAGTCAAAATGTTTTCGGCGGACTTTTTTCTTTAAATCGTAAAATTCACTTTCCGAGCAAATAGGTTTCTATCAAGAATTTCTAATTATTGTTGGATTTTTTTTAATTATATTGTTTCCCGTTGACGTCTATTGTCAAGTGTCAACGGATAATTTTGTTTCGGTTTCAATCTTTTTTATAATTAGTTCGTAGTCCCGTTTAAATTCTGCAAGTTCTTAAATTCCTAAATACGGGTAAGTCTGCAAGTTTTTCGCATCCCCAAAAATTCACAGACACATGCACAAGTTTTTGGCGTATTTTTACTCTGGGTATTATTTTAACCATAATAAGTCCTGATAAGCAAATACAAGTTGCAAATTATAAAATTTTTGGTATTCGATCCCAAAACGCCACTTGATTTTTTTAATAGCTGAGTGTGAGTAGCACGTTTGCGTATATGTAAATGTTGAAAAGACGTAGGATATGATGGTGTTTTGATTCAATAGGCGTGGGAGTTTGTACAAAGAGTTTTTTTATATGAAAAATTGTCAAACTAGCAGGCGGTTCATCTGATGCTAAGTGAAGACCGCCACGCATCGACATCTAGAACACTTGAGAACTTTCAGGTGCGTAGACAACTAAAGTGGTTGCCGGTAACCCCACCCACCAAACAAAACGCGAAATTATAATACTTCCGCTTCACGTCGGTTTTCTGTGGGGCCGTGGTGCTTCACCGGCCAGTCTTCCCATTCGTACAACAACAGAAGCTGTTGCGTGGCCCTACCAGAGTAAAGTTTATTTTGTTTATTTTTTTAAAAAACATCGCCCTTTAGGATAACATTATCCTGTGTTGTAAGGATGTTCTACAAACATGAATTTCACGCGGACAAACACCCAGATGCGAAACAACTACCTGTGGGCCACACAAATAGTTGTCCCTTGTGGGAATCGATACCACGACCCCCGACGCCGAAGCCAATACCTTGGCAAATGCGCCACGGAGTCATCAAATTAATTGTTTTTTAAATTAGTATCTACTCGTTTGCAGTGTGCGATGCCTGTGCGCAACTGCTGCCTTGGGTGCCAGGGCCCGATGCAGGGTCCCTGCGGGCCGCTCGGGTGTCGCTTTGACCCTTGCCCCCAGGTGGGCCCCTGCTGCGTGCACGCCATTGGAGCCAACTGCCGAGGCCCTTGCGGCGAACTAGGTTGTATTCATGGGTGAGACGTTAGCATTCTCTTATTTCGTTCTTATGTTTTTAGGCTTCCGTACCTAAAGTGACTCTCTCTCCACTGTCTCTCTGTCTATCCATCTGTCCGGCTGTCTGTCTGTCACCAGGCAATTTCTTATGAACCGTGATAGTTACACAGTTGAAATTTTCACAGATGATTTTTTTTTAATGTGAAAAGTTGCAAAACGAGCAGACGGTTCACCTGATGTTAAGTGAATACCGCCGCCCATGGACATCTGCCACACCCGAGGGTTACAGATGCGTTGACAACCTTTTGAGAATTGGGCTCCGGCTACCTCACTCACCAGATGAAACGCGAAAGTATTTGTCATACTTCCACTTTACGCCGGTCGTCTGTGAGGTCGTGGTACTTACCCGGATGAGCCTGCCCATTCATGCAACAGCCGAGGCTGCTGCGTGGCTCTACCACTGATAATGTGTTTCTGTTACCGGTATAACAACAAGTACTAAAATATTTAAAGAGGGATCCCATACATCAGACATGAATCTTTGGCCGTTTTTATAGAACACTAGCTGGTGCCCGTGACTACGTCTGCGTAGAATAGACTGAAGGCGTAACATTCAGACAGTAATACATAAAATATGTATATGAATTATGTCTTATTCTGATGTATAAGCTTTATTATTGTCAAATTTCAATTAAATCCATTCAGTAGTATTTGCGTGAAAGAGTAACAGACATCCATCTATACTTACAAACTTTGGCCTTTATAATATTATAAAGGCCAAAGTTTGTAAGTATAGATAATATTAGTAAGGATGGTACGGAAACCTTCGTAGCCTGTATTTTTCCTATATGGAGAATTTGAATTTGAAGCATAAGACCCACTAGGGGAGGATGCTTAAGGCATTAAGAAAGTAAATTACACACCGTCATAATATTCACCTTTATTAACAGCCTGTAGCAGTTAACTCCGTCCATCATAGTCATCATTATTTACACAGCAGTAAACTCCGCCCAAGGCATGCCACATGTCCATATGTAATGGTTCTTGGTACCCAATCAATTGAGGGTATTGAATACTTAGCCGATAAGAAACTATACAATATTCACATAACCTTGATCTGTTACTTTGACTTGGTCCATCAGCTCATGACAAATGAAAGTTTCATTTCATAATTAATTTTCTCATATAACTTTTCCTCGTAACTTTTGTCGACTACAATTCTTTAAGTAAATTATTCGTATTAATCAACTATAAAAAAGCGATAAACAAGCGAATGGTACCGAAGTAAACATGTCAGTAATTAACGATCAACTATAGTCAATAGAGTGATTTAATTACCCTATGTTTTGTTTGTTTTGTTTGCAAAGTTTGGAATAGCGGCTATAGTCAAACAACCCCGGTATTCACCCGCCTCTGTAACACCGTAACTAGTTGGTTTATTCACAAAGCCCCTTTCCCCGAATTAATCAACATTAAAGGAGATCGTCCGCCTCTATTCATGATAATACGTAAACCGACTATCGGAGTTTGCGCGCCGTAACTTACAAAAGCCTTTGGAAATTACAAATTTATTAATGTTTTAAAATAATAGAGTAGTGGTGTGATTTCTGTGTGGGCGTGTGTAGTAAGTGTATACTACACACACATTCACCCATTGTAAAGACATTGAAAGTTTATCTCTTAGAATAATGAAAGCTAACTCTCATAATTATGATTCCTTTGAAGGAACTGTTGAGAATCTCAAACCTCTGTTACTTCATATCGCGAGATCTCGTCGTAGCTACCAGGGTATTACGTGTTGAAAATATAAACAGTAATAATTAAGCATTTTACAAACATAACTGTGGTGCCTTTTATCGATTCATTTATGATTACAGGCGCCACTATTTGAGAAGCTCTCAACTCATAACTTATTGACTTATACCGGAGGTTTTAATGTCGCTAAGGAGACACGCGTTAAGCCCGTCGCGCTTAGGACGTTAATGCGATGTTGTTCTAATCACAAACCTGCAGAAAGATTTGACTAAAAATCGAAATTACTTACTCGCGGTACTGAGATTTAAAGGCGTGACATACACCACATCGTAAAATATTTATAGGCGATCTGGCCATTAAGTCACCAAAGTGTGTTATTTACATAAACAATGCCAGCCAAAAACACGACTGCAGAAAGCTTAACGATGAAAGTAGTCTAGATTTATCTCATACGTTTGAATTTACGCTTGACCCAAATCAGCCTCGGCCAATGTTGGTACTCGTTAATCTGCATTTGTATTTATGTCGGTCTGTTTCTCCGAACTAGCTGGCCTTATTCAAACGATAGTCAGCTGTACTTTGATTTTTAAATACCTTTCACGGTAGATGAGAATGTTATAAATATCATCACACACGAAAGGCAAAAGATAAATAGATGTTAACAGGGGCGGCTTTTCATATAGGCCAAGTACCCCAGGCCTAGTGCGGCAAAATTTAGGGGGACAAAACTTTAGTTTTAGCTTTAGTTTATCATCATCTACCTAAGGTTTACAGCCTTTGTCGAATACTAAAATTATATTGACATGAATGTTTCATCATAAACTGCTTGAATGCTATAGTACTTGGTGTTTTTTAATGATATAGCCTAAGGCGTTAAATGCCGTAGCTTGGTGAATACCGGTTCACTCGTTCTTACTCGTTTATTCAGCATTAGTACTCAGCACAAATCTATTTGCCTTTTGATGCATGCATCAAGAATGCAAAGAGAAGGAAGTTTAATTCGTAGCTTATACCTTGCTCTGCAAGTAGTAGTAATGGTTGACAGGTTTCTCGTGGGCAAAGTGTATAATGAAGGAGTTTCGTTCTTTCAAATATTTTTGATTAAATCTTAAAGATGAATTTGAGCGTATAAGTATTTGAAGTTTGTTGGCTCAAATTTATCGCGAGTCCTGATTTTCTGCTGTCGGCAAAATCTCCTAGATACCTGCGTCGTAGAGACGATGTGTCGTTATTTAAAAGGCTAAATAGTACTTAGTAATCCCAATATTAAATAATCTAAGGCGATTTGATTGCCATTATTATCATCTAACTGTGAATTTTGGAGGTAAATAGAGAAAAACTTTCTGTGCTGCGAGATTTAAACCTACATTTTACGGGTAACGAGGTCATACGCTTACCAACTAAACTGGGTGGAAATCGTGCAAAGAAGAGTTGAGAGAAAATCTGAACATCTATCCATTATCATTATAAATTACCATTATTTCCCGGTAAAATGCAACTATGCGAAAGCTTGTGTGTTTTCGGGCACTGTTTGTTTTATGACAGAAACAGCGACTGTTTCTGTTTTCCTCTTGTGTGAAATTCTGTTTTGGGGTTAGCTTACAATTTGCGTTAACACTTAATGTAAGAACATCGTAAGATAGAATTTACGCCCCGATTGACCTTCCAAGCTTACGTTTCTTCTCGGTTATGTTTCTTAGTGATGATTTTAATTCCTACAATAAGCGATCGCGATTGAAAACTGTTGTGGACGCCGTTTGCCCTATCTAGGGGACATAGGATTTAGACCACATTGGTCTGATTTTTTGTAGGAAGTATCTGGTATATGTACTTGGATCGTAGGCCAGTGAACTTTCCATATTGACCAAATTATTACATTTACTGTGGCAGGCCCCAGCAGTACTTTCAGCTGTTTCACGAATGGGGTGGCTCGTACGGGCAAGTAACAGGACCTTACAGAACAACGCCTTTGCAATCCGCCAAGTGTTGCAGATGTTCATGGGCAGGGGCATATTCAGTTAACATCACACAGCAGAGAGTATAGAGCAGAGAGCATAGAGTCCAGTAAATGGAGCTGTTTGACTTTGCACTGTGGTTAAACGAAAGCTTTTTGTCCACAGAGCCCGCTGCGGCGTGGCCGGCTCCTTCTTCAGCTGCGGCCATGGGTGCATCGGCGGCTGTACCGGAGGCCTCTGCGCTTCGTGCTGTGGCCCCAATTGCGGATAGGGTTGGCACACGCATCCAAATTGTTTGTTGTTGATCGATGGTGATATAAGGAAATAAAACCTTTCACTCGGTTGTATATTTTATTTTATTCCATCTCTCTTCTGCCTCGTGTATCTCACCTTAATTTTTTCGGTACATGTAAATCATGTCAATGGTACTCGTTAAGTTTTTATCAACGATCGCCTGCCTGATGTCAACCCTCCTTGGGAACAAACATCTAGATCCGGAATAATTACACATATTACTGTGGTTCAGCCAAGCAAGTCTTCGCTGTTGCACTAATGGGCAGGTTCGTCGGCTCTTAAGTTCTCCTCTGTTGAAAGAAACTCGATTAAGATGGCTTTTTGATCTTTCTTAAATTGTTGTTATGTTGTCCGCCAAACGTACGAATGTTATAAATTAATCGTCCGATACTTTTAATTTAAAAAAAATGTGTTATTGAAGCCTAAAAGGCTTTTAACTAAGAAGTCCATTTTATAGACATTTGATTTTAAATCAAAGTGAGACAAAATTTAAATATTTTTTCCTAACCAGTCTTGATAACGTCACCGCTTCGTCCGGCTACTTTGTATGTAAAAATTTAACCCGTTTTCAGTTAGCGATAAATAAATAATGGACCTAATTTATTTAGAAACGTGTTTGTGATATACATATATCTGAGTTATTGTGTCCTCAAATAAAGTTAAAAGTAAGTTTAAAACTTCTTATATTAGCATGTTATATTGAATATTGTACAAATATTATAATAATTATTGCTAATCGGTCTACTAATAATTCTTCCATTTAGCGGATGGCTAGACACTTTGTGAAAAACAACAATTACTCTTCTACATTCACGTACATTTCTCCCTTTGTCGTGAAGGTTTGTACTGGATTAGAGCATGTAATGCTTCGCATCAATAAAACACAATATACAAACATCGTGCACTGTCATTAAATAAATAATGATAGGTTGATTGATGGGCCGGGGATAACAAATTCCATAGTTAATGATAGTACCTGGAGGACCGAGCTTTGCTCGGTTTTTTTCTGGTAAATTATGTATTTTGGAAATAAAAAATAAAGAAAATGATCTGGTATAGAAAAAAAAAGTTAAAAAGTAAGTGTGTAAATGATCGTGAAACGAACCGCGGCCGTCTGTTTTGGGGCCGCCCGATTACTGAAATTTACTATCATATTCGAATGATTTTTTCATTCCCTGAAAACAGGAATAAAAGGACATTTTCTAAAAATGAAACCTAGTTAGATCGATTTTTCGCCCGCGAATCTACCGCACATACTTAAATTTCATGAAAATCGCTGGAGCCGTTTCCGAGATTACGTTCCGTAAAATGATAAAAATAGAATAGATTCACAAATAATACCTTTACGTTTAGAGATCAAGTGAATGTGCAATAACAGTTCTCCGTATATGTGGCATGTTTATTAGTTTGACGCAAATTCTTAGTGCAGATTTAAATCTGCACTAAGAATTTGCATCTGTAATATGACCGGAAACAGTACCAGACGTAAAAGTACGTTTCCCTAAACTTCCCCCCCTGATATTTATGAAGAACCTATACATCTTTTTTTTAACCCTTTTTGATAAAAAAAATACATTGCCCTTTAGGATAACATTATCCCTGTGTTTTAAGGGCGTTTTTCTAACAAATTTCACGTGGACAAACACCCATATGCGAAACAACTATGTGGGGTCACAAATAGTTCGCGTGTGGTGTGTGACGCCGAAGCCAATACTCGTCATCATCATCTTTTTAAAGTATTCGTTTGTTTTTTCACTAGAAAAGAGGAACTAAAAGCGGTCGACTTGCCAAAACAAAACCTTTATTCTTACAAATACATAAAATGATTGCAGCCACGTGAGAAATAGATTTGATCACACACTTCACTATAACACTATAGCAACGGATAGGGAAGCTCAACAGGGTCCACACGGTCCACAGGGGCCGCAACCAGGGCCACAGGGCCCACAAGGGCCGCAGCACGGCCCGCAGCTAGGCCCACAGCACGGACCACAGCCCGGGCCGCAGGGTCGTGGGCCACAGGGTCGACAGCACGCACCACAAGGGCCACCACCGCAAGGGCCGCAGCACGGTCTGCAGGGCCCACAACAGGGGCCGCACGATGGGCCACACGCACCGCAAGGCCCACAGGGACCACCACAGCACGGACCGCAGGACCCACAGGGACCACAAGATGGGCCGCAGGGGACGCAAGGCCCACACGGACCGCAGGGACCACAACACGCCATCTTCTTTTTATTCAAATGGGAATGTAGTAAATCGAAATGTAATTATTAATATTCACTAGAAAATTTTGTAATATTCAATGGTTTTTCTTAACGTTTTATAATTTTTTTCGGTTTTATGATTTTCATGTGTCCCGTGTAAAATTGTGTAAATAACTAAATCATCACTCATGTTCTATTAGAAGATTATTTCCGATTTCAAATTAAGGTTCTAGAAATATTGTTAAAAATAAAAAGCTAAGGATGAATTTGACGAAGGTTTAGTAGTTGTGCTATAGAAACTTCTTTGTGTGCATTCGTTGTTGCTGTCAAGTTTTCTCTTTTGGAAATCAATTTTAAGTTTTGAATACTATATATTATATATATACTAATGTTTCCTCGTATATAACTTTAATATTATGATACATTAACGTCATGTGAATAGAGTAAACCTCGGTAAACCACAAAAAACATGTTTGTTATGTGCTATTAACATTTAATGTTGTTTATTGTCGTAAATTAAAAAATCAAGTCTTATTTGATAACGGATAAAGAAATAACAAAAGTATAATATTTTTTAAAGATTTTCCGTTCTGAGAAACGTCTTATAGAATTTAAATTTGATCGGATATACATTTTTTCTCGATACACGCTTCACATACCTTTTGTTTGTCTTCAACTGTCTCTTTCAGCAGTTTTATAGACCATAAATATCTTGAATAGTTGTTTCTGTCTAAAATAGAGGAAGTATCTTTCGTAGAATAAATCTCTTATGGAGAGACGCTCACGGAAGAGGAGGATATAAACATTTAGAATAAATTTAAAATCTCACTTTAAATTACCTGTTCATAGTTAATTTAAAGTGAGATTTTAAATCAGAACACGTATGTCTTAGGTGTTCTACTATATTTATCTTTTTTATGAACTGAGAAAATATTTGAGATTTATAATTATGATTAAATAATAGAAGTCTTTCTATTTGAGAAACAAAATAATATCTTTGAGTAACCTCAGTTCGATACCAGGTGCCGGAACTAATGAAAAAATTTTTCCACCGTATGTGCCCATCAGAAACTTCGTAGATGGCCTCGACGTCTTAAGTATTGCGTAGAGTTAATATAAATCGTTGTATTTTCTACTAAGCGCATTGTGCCGTGGAATTTTTTTAAATAGTTTAAATCCAATTACGTTTTCCCCGTATTGAAATCAATTTCCGTATAACTCGCCGCGGCGCCATTTTGTTTTTCAACTCGACGCGCGGCCGTCGATCAGTTTTCCGTTCCCGGTATTGTTTACATGGAGCGCGATACGCTATATTGCCGCGATCCAGCGCGGTTACTCAACGGACGGGGGAAACAGCTTGTACCGCTAAACATTAAGAGCGGCTGATACTCGTGCGGGCAATTTTGTGCGAACATCATGAGCGGGAGCAGGGCCGTACTGGGAATGTATATTTATTTCAAATGGAACAACCTCAATTACTTTTATATCGAAATTTGTGCGATTTGAACATTATATATGTACGATGTACGTAATAATATACACCTATTTACAAAAAAACGTACAATATCGCGTCCGGGCCGTGGTGACACTCTGGAAGTACCGAGGTTTAGACTGGCTAAACCAGAAAGTATTTTCTTGTTAGATGCATTAACTTTTATAATAAAGTAGGTGACGTACACAAACCAGAAAGTATAAAAAATTTCAAAACATTTCGTAAAAGCTGCTACTAACTACTAACTTACCTAAACTACTAAATTTGTAGCAAAAAAGATTTTGTTAATGACTCCATGCCAAGATAATGGCTTCGGCGTCGGGGGTCGTGGGTTTGATTCCCACATGAGACAACTGTTTGTGTGACCCACAGATAATTGTTTCGCATCTGGGTGTTTGTCCGCGTGAAATTTATGTTTGTGAAACGGCCTTACAACACATGATCAACTAAAAAAATCTACATTATTTTTTCGCATTCCAAGCATAGCTTGGTGCATTTATTCTTATATCCTTTACAGCATACAAACAATTTAAATTTCACACTGCAACGGTCTATAAAAGCCACAACGCTAGCCGTGTTCGAGGCCAATCCTTTAGTTGTTACCTGATGTTAAGTGAATACCGCCGCCCATGGTCATCTGCTACATCCGAGGGTTCCAGATGCGTGGATAATCTTTTATAAATTGGGCTCCGGTCACCTCACTCACCAGATGAAACGCGAAAGTATTATACTTCAACTTTACGCCGAACCACCTTACGCCTTTTCTGTTTACTTGAAAACATTCAAGCAAACAAAAAAAGCGTAAGGTGTTGGTTTGGTGGTGTAAGGTTATATACACGGTTACATTTATAAATTAAATAACAATTGAGTTTATAAACGTAACTGCGCTTATAACCGATTTATCTTGTTGTTTGTGATTTGTACTTGTTGAGTCATATGAAAATATAATCGAAAAAGATCTACTATCACAATAAAAAATTATCATTATCAACAACGAACCTAAAAACCTGATTTTAATAATTTGAATAGTAAGAATATTACAAAATAGTATAAGTGCGGCCCTGAATGTTTAAACTTCGTTATGTACGAAACATCCACAATCCCGCAGCAGTTTCTAACTTTCGAAATTGAGTTTGGAAAGTTTATTACGCAAAGCAACTTTCTATGTGGCAGTTACATTGTGCATTTGTTCTCTCGCGAATGGCATCTGGTTTGCTTTGAGAAAGTGTTGCCTAAAATAAATCGCTTCATTTAACTTTCTTATTCCAAAAATGGGACTATTTTGAGTATTTTTTTAAGTTGTTATGTCTGTACTTACATTTTACTTATGTCAATGACATGAGCTTTCACGTTTTTACACGTTTTTTCCGTTACTGTGGATAACAAATAAATATACATACTATTTCTAAGAAAAATAGATTCAAATATAACAGTAGATAATAAATTTATACTTTAAGAATTCGATATAAAATTTAATTATGTATATAATACTCAGAACTGTCACGGTGAATTTCAAAAGCGATTATATTTATGAAGGCTGCCAATTTATAGACCGATTAGCGGTTGACGGATTTTTCCCAGTACTAGAACATGGCAAATTAAGTTTTATTCCTGTTCAACATTTAATTCCACTTTTCTTGAATTATATTCTGCAAAACGCTATAATTTAATATCCACTGTTTAGATGATAGATGATATAAAATTCTTTAACTTCTCAACATCAAGATTTCTCCTATCCTACCTAAGTGGGGTCGGCACAACGTGAGAATCATTTTATAAGTGGTTTTGGTCAAGTTTATTACGACCTGCCGCCTGCTCTACAGACCTCCTTGGAAGCAAATACCCAGATACCGAACAATTATCTGTGGATCAAACAATTATCGAATCGAAACCGATACCGAACTTACGGCGGTAGAGCCTCGCAGCAGCCTCGGCTGTTGCACGAATGGGCAGGCTCGTCCGGGTAAATACCACGACCTCACAGACGACCGGCGTAAAGTGGAAGTATAATACTTTCGCGTTTCGTCTGGTGAGTGAGGTAGAGGGTAGTGAGCCCAATTTACAAAAAGGTTGTCAACGCATCTGAAACCCTCGGGTGTAGCAGATGTCCATGGCCGGCGGTATTCACATAACATCAGGTGAACCGTCTGTTCCTTTGGCAACCTTTCACATAAAAAAAAACCACGACACCCGGTGTCGAAGCCAAGAGCTGTTAATATTATGTTTGCGCCGTTTATGGGAATTTGGGCAATTTGGTGGTTAACTACTTTGGTCGCTGCAATGCAGTCTGCTTGGTTTGTAATAGATTCACTATTTTTTATAGATTGATGAACAATTTTATAGATAGACCTTCTCTTCATACAATAAAAAATAAATCATGATACTTTTAGAAATTGAACACGAAGTTGTCCTTTAAATTGGAATTAGAATGTTCTTTAATTCGCACCAATCATTATCAGCATGAATAAAAATTGTTCCGCTTTAAATTATATGACATATATTACTGAATGTGACAGAATATAGAACGTATGATATAGAAAGAGATAGCTGTTTATACAGTTCCAATCAATTTACTCTAATTGGCGTAATTTGAGCGCCTCAGTTTCGGTGCGCTAGTCATATCTACCACGTATTTTAGAAATTTAAATTGTTTATAGTGCTAATCTTTGCACTTAATATTGAACATTAAAATATGTAGAAAAAGTGCGAAAAGATTGTCGCCGCTGTGGGAATCGAACCCACGTCTTCGGCATTCGCGGCCTGACGCTCTAGCCACTGAGCTAAACGGCTGATTAACACACCGACGAAAATCTTAACGCATTCTTCCACATTGTTTTCTTAATATTTGAAGCAATGCTTGGCGCCATCTATTGTTATATCCTTTCCAGCATACATATTTTAATGTTCAATCTTAAGTGCAAAGATTAGCACTATAAACAATTTAAATTTCTAAAAAAAAGCAATGGCGACATCTCTCGTTCGAACTATCGTTGTAAAACTATATTCGAAGTTGTTTGTATGCTGGAAAGGATATAACAATAGATGGCGCCAAGCATTGCTTCAAATGCTAATAAAACAATGTGGAAGAATGCGTTAAGATTTTCGTCGGTGTCGTAATCAGCCGTTTAGCTCAGTGGCTAGAGCGTCAGGCCGCGAATGCCGAAGACGTGGGTTCGATTCACACAGCGGCGACTATCTTTTCGCACTTTTTCTACATATTTTAATACCACGTATTTGTATATAACATGATTGGGCTAGCCCACGAGTTCTGCGTTCGATGAATAGTCTACGGACCGATAGCAAAAACATCAGTTAAAGAAAAAATTTTATAGTTTACGGAATTAAATCTTGTATTATCTTGTAATAACTGATGTTTTTGCTTTCAGTCTCGAGACTATTAAAGCTTCATCTGACGCAGAACCGGTGGGCTAGCCGGAACCCACGGTTTGGAGACCGAACTAAAGTTTTTGCTTTACGAATACCGAGACGTAAATTTAACCAGCTTGTTAAGCGCCGCAGTCCGGCCCATCGCGACTCCGAACAAATGAGGTCCGGATAAATAAGGTTTTACTGTACCGTAAGGACCGCCCTAGTCGATGGTGGCTTTAAAATAGATTCAGCTAGAGCCACCACATTACGGTGTCGCAACGGACGTGGCAATGCGCGTAATTTGAGGGTACGCGTAATTTGAGGGCGGGCAAATTGCGCGACTTCCCGCCAGGGCCACTTCCACGGAACACCCGTGTTCGTAGAGCGCGACGGCACGCACTCGACTCAAACCGGTCAGACGTCGTAAACATTTTTGGCGATTGGTTTGCTAATTATTAAGTTATGTGCTCTCAAGTCTTGCTAATTTATATACAGAGAAAGAACTTCGTCCCATCCGGGCGTCCTGTCACGCCTTTCCTTTTTATTTAGTCATGTTAGGTAATCAAACAACTACGTTCATCTTACACTTAGTAACTTTTTTAAATTAATCGATCCGAATTCTGTATAATAATAATTAGCCATTAACGGTTATAGTTCGTTCATGAAATATGATTTTCAATAGAATCGAGAGTAATCCCGAACGAACATGTCAGTTTCGAACAAACGCGCTGTTAAATGATTCTGTGTTGCTTTTAAATGAAGTTACTCCCAAAAAGGAATTATTTTGTTATCAATTAAGTCCTAAACTTTTATTGATTCGCTTAGTGTTAACCCTATTAGTAACAAACACAGGGAAAAAATAAAACATATCACAAACTGTGCAACGACCAACTAAACAAACAGAATTTTAATATTTACAATATATGTCATTTTCAGCCATAGACTTATAAAGTCAGAACACTCAATAAATACATCTAGCAAATATT